ATTCAACCCTCGTGATCACTCCTTCATTTCAACATCAAAAGTTTCATTGTCATAAGAGGTAATGATTTCTATCACTGATCATGCCCATTTGTAAGGATCAGTAAAAGGAAATTTTGATTTTTCGTTGTGTTTTGGAACACGATTTCCCTTCAGTAGTGGCCAGCAGAAAAATACACAAGAAGGGGGGGTTGAATTGTGCTCATTGTTTTTGCTTTGCTTCTGAACAAAGTTCAGATTCTAATTATAAGTTATAGCGGAATAATAACATAAGCAAATATATAACAACAGAATACACAAAGATTTATTCTGGTTCCTCCCAAACTGAGAGTAGTTCAGTCCCCTTGTGGCGCAAGAGATTTTTCACTATAATCAAAACATGATTACAATTGCGTATGCCCTCGAGCATAAGACTTTTTTGCTAAGACCCTCAGCCCGAGACTTTTTGCTTAAACCCCTCAGGTTCAAGACTTCCTGCTTAAATCCCACGGATTCAAGACTTCCTACTTAGACCCTCAGCCTAAGACTTCCTACTTAAACCCCTCGGGTTCAAGACTTCCTGCTTAGATTCCATGAATCAAAGACTTTCTTGCTTAAACCTCACAGGTTCAAGACTTCTGCTCATAGTCCTCGAGTACAAGACTTCTCTGCTTAGATTCCTCAAATCCAAGACTTATGCTTAGACCTTCAGTCCAATACTTTTCCTGCTTAATGAACAACTAATCAAAACTTTCAATGCTCAATAATATAACAAGAGACTTACTTGGCTCAAGCTCACAGTAAGATACTTTGATGCTCAAGCACATAACAAGAGACTTTCTTTTCTAAACTACTAAACACAATATGTTTAATAGAATAGAAAACAAGGTGTATTCCATATAATCATAAGTACATATAAATAACCATAACAAAGATCATAACCCTTAATATTTCTAAGATATTCAATGTTTAATAAATCTTAAGGCATGTACAATTTACAACAAATAACAAAATTTTGGCATCCTCGATTGTGTTGCCATTGTTGATCTTGTTATTCTTCTATTCTGATAGAAGTGTGAAACACTTCTTTCTTTTTGTCTCTCTTTCTTTATTTTCCTTGTTGTTGATTCTAGATTAAATCTTTGGCTACTTATATAGCAGTTGCAGAATGATAGTCATTGTATGAGATACCTTGTACAAGTGTCTTTGTTACTCCATAATACAAGATACGTTAATGATAGATACACCAAAAGATATTTATTCATTGTGTAACTCTTTTAACCATATCGCCTTCCTTGTGATCTTGTACTATAGATCTGTTGAGAGTAGATATTCATAAAACATCTCAACTCTTCTTGAGCCATGTGAACATAGACTCTAGCTGACAAATTGATTTGACATTGTAGCCTGCTTTTTGCAGTACGGATAACTCAACTTTGTCACTGGTTCTGAAATGGTAACCAGAAGTTGATACATTCAATAAGTGTAAATATAATATATTGTTATTTTGATGCTGATACCTTCAGCTTCAGAGTCTACGCCAACCTATATTATCAGACTTCACTTAAAGAACGTTCTTCAGTTCTGAACCACAATAGAGTTTTCACTATAGTTAGCGACCATATCTTTTTGGAGCCTCAAGCTTTGGAAACAATGACAATTTGCATTTTATCCCTCTAAAAATTGTTTGTTATAGAGTTCTAGAACCATCGACTATCTTTTTATTACTACTAGAAGGTTCCTCATTAGTATGTTTATTTCTTTATCAACCAACTGGGCATTTGGATGTTGGTTGTTAATGACGTTATTACGTTTTGGATGTGGGTCTACTTGGGAAACCTCTTAGCGTGAATTTACTATTCTCTTATAGGAGATGATAGATCCTTGAGTCTCTAAGGTTGTTGGATCTAGTTCTCCAGTCCATAGGACGAAGAGGTAAGGTTTTCTTCTTGATGTGAATTTCTTGCACAGTTTCCATTGCTTAAGTATTTTGATAAGATGTTTGGGATGTTATTTATGTTCTCACATATGACGTCAATATTCTTTCCGGTGAGGAATCTTCTTCTCGAAATGGTCAGGTTCTGGTTGCCTTGAATATTGGTATCTTGCTTGTCTTTTGGATTTTTTTAGAAAGGAAATAGGGAGTACCTGCACACACTCTGACGCCTAAGCTAATGACTTTCATATATAAGATAAATAAATTTTTTAAGGAATTGTTTGTGTACCTAGTTTGACATTTGTTTCCTGTTTTATATGAATTTTATTAGTGTTTATACTGACTCTTATTGCTTTTCTTTAGGGAAGGTCCATGAGTTTTTTATAGGTGCTATAAAATTCTGCTCGGTTAAAGATATTTCTCACCTGAAGTTATTTCGACCACAAATATATTCATTTCGGATCTTTGTGACTTTCGTGGATTATTTTCCATCGGGTCATCTATTAGGGCCGAGACCAAGTAGGAACCTGTCAAACACAATTTTTTTTATCACTTCACTTAATTCTTTGTTTGGGTTTAATTACCTTGACTTTGGGTTTTCATAGATGAAGTGTTGATTTCTTCTCTTTGCTAGTTGATTTTAACTCTAAAGGCTCTGGAAAAAAAGACCATAGTCATAGTCATGCCTGAGAAAATGTTTGTATCCATGATCACCTTAGTAATCCCCTTATATGGTTACTTGAACATGTCTTTATTCTATTGCATTTTGGATATCTATTTGAAATACTACACAATCATTTGTGATGTGATTGTAAGAGTTGTTCCATTTAAAATACCTTTTATCTTTGATCTTTTAAAAGGTTATGTAGTGTTATATTTGTAATATACCCAAGCCAGGACGCCCTTTGTAACACCCCATTTTTTGTTTAATCATTTGTTACATTGAAGATATTATAATGCTAGGTTTTTTTAAGTCCTTTTTATTGTTTTATGTACACCACACTATGTTTCAGTAACTTGGCATAGTTGCAGGTTTGTCTAGTTGAGTTATAATACTCAATATTGATTATTGAGTTGTAATCTCTAATCACGGGTTGTGTGATTGAGAAGAACGAGAGAGGGGTTCACATGTTTAGGGGGAGACCTAAATAGAAAGTCATTAGGTAGTGTTAGGAAGAGGCATTGAACAACATATGACATGTTGTTGCTTGTAAGACTACTAAGCTACTAATAGTTAATTTCCTTTCTTGTGTTGATTATTACTTTTCTGGTTCATCATCTTGTACAATTGAATCTGTATTAATTATGTGGATTATTGTTTAACTTGTCAAACCATTTTTCTAGGACGTCGTGTTCGACATCTGTCCCTTGAGGAATAGAATTTCATTTCCAAAAAAACTCATCCTCGTCACCTGAACCGAGGAGGATAATATGTTTCTGAAAGGAGGCATCTCTCTCCTCATAAGTATACTAGGCCTCGATGTTTTCAACGCTCGTGTAGTTTACATTATTAGCCGTCATTAGTTGCTAGAAGTTTCCTAAGAAAGAACAGGAAGAAAGATAGTCATTATCACTCACTAAACTATTGGTGCTCTCATAACTCCCAAACATGCCTATTTCTAAAAGCATATAAACAATTGGACCATCCTCGTGTTCATTGTTCCTCGTGCAACACAAATCGATTGACGACTATTTTTTACTATTTTAAGGCATTATCACCTTACTACTCTAATCTAAATACTTAATGATTGTCATTAAAGAGGAAAAGGAGATAGGAAGAATAAAAGTCTATAATTGTAGATAAAGGAATGAGAGTTGAACTTAGTGAAGTTTGGAAGCAAGTTCACTCTCAGTTTGATAAAGATTCAAATGAGAGTTTGGAGGAGAAAGTATCAGAAAAATGAAAGAGTGGAGGTTGAACCCATCTTTATAGGGATTTGAAAGATAGACCTAATAGGTAATGAGCAACCTCGCACCAAGTACATTAACGATTACTATAAGGTTCCCAACGTCTCTGACATGTGCAACGAACCCAAGACGATTTAGCTTCCTGAGACAAACTCACCATTACCTTGCACATGCGTATGTTTGAGACGCCAGAGGGGCTCACCCCAAACTCTGCTTGAGGAACTCGCCTCAAGTTCTACTAGAGGGACTCATCCCAAGTTCTGCTTGAGATATTCTCCCCAAGGACAGACTAAAAACTCTTTGGGGATTAGTTGAAGTATGAAGGTCGTATACGATCAAACTAAATCACTTTGTCCAATACAAGCCTTCGTGCTAGAGGAATTGTGTGTCGTTATAATTGTATTAGGCTCTAAGAAGAAAAAACCCATGTAAGGAATGCAAAACACTTTGGCAAGTTCGAGTTTCCCTACAAAGCCATAAGTCATTCGAAATAGGTCATGAGATCTTCTGGATCTTAGTTGCCACCTGCTGGTTGCTTTTAGTTTACCGGAACTCACTGTCATTACCCACTTATCCAATGAACATGGAAGATGACATGTCTCATCATAACGGACTGAGAGAAATGTCATCGAGGATAATTGTCATCTCCTTAATCTGAGAAAGAATAACTCCCTTAATCTCCATGTTTCTGAAAGAGGAGTAGAGGTCATACCTGTCTATCTCTGACTCATTGAATTTCTATAAATACTTCAACCTTAAAATTAAAGAGAAGAAAACTATTTTCACCTAAAAACCTCATGTACTAAGGAGGGAGGACTTAACTCCAAACAATTTCAACAACCCCAAAACATCACATCAACCCTCTAAATACATTGCTACCTTATTACACATTTTTACGGATTACAAACTTAATCATTTTGAAGTATAACCATCACGTCATTCTTATTTTTTTTAATATCATGTAATTCCTATTAAACACTAGAAAGAAATGGTGTGCTATTGAATTATTTGCTCATTTTAAAATGTATAATAGAATGGAGAGTGATGACATTATTCCATCTCATTATATTGTTGATTTCATACACCATTCCATAACAATCCATTCATATACACTAACCACTAAATTTGACCAGTACACAGAAAAGAACAAAAATGGAAAATACATCTCTTGCACATGTTTTCAACTGGCTTTAACTTCTCCTAAGCTGACAATTTCAGTATATCCAACCTTTTTCCTCAAACAATTCGTCAACTTGACAGCATCTATACCATCTCCAATTACCATTAACTTGTCTTTCTCTTCTCCCTCTAATCCCACAAAACTCACACCTGCATTTACCCAATTATAAAGCTTTAGAAATGTGAATCAAATTAAGAGACACAAATATTAAAATGAAATTTAGACAGAAAATATGAATCGTCACGAACCGTTAGCTGATGCGACAACTTTGAGTGCCTTTGTGCGACACTTTTGACAGTTCATAGAAACCTTCATCACAATCTTTTGCTGCAAACACAAACACAAACACATTAAATTTAAAGATAAAAAAATAACAAAAGAATTCACTTAGAAAGTGATGCAATTGTATTTATATACCTTCATGTTTTGAGATATAGATTAAATTGTTCAGAAACTTAAGTTATAAATATCAAACTTGTGAGCAAAGGCAATGTAAGTCAAGTCGTGGCTGAAAGAAACAAGGTAACTTCATCAAATGTCAAAGTCATAGATATATTAATTGAATGCGTCAAACTTGTAGACGAAGAATGTATATCTCATAGTTAAATTTGGAGTTGGTCATGTGATCGCATTGAATTTTAGCTTCATGTGTTCAAAACGCGGCAAGAGAATTTTTTGGATTTTGTTATTGACATCAAAGTCAACAAAAAAGAAAGAAAAAAAAAAGTAAAATAGTGGTATGTGTCCTATTATAACTGTTCTGTTCTGGGTTCCGGCCTGACCGAGAAGGTGCAGCCCACGTACATTTGGGAGAAGGTCTAAAAGAATCATCCTCATTTGTGTCTAGCACAAGACTCCCGTCGACCAAACACTACTCCCTTTTTTTCCTTTTATTTCTTACCTTATAATATTTTTCTTCCTGCAATTTTAGTCTTTGTTGCAAAACTCAATCATGTGTACTTTAAAATTATATATAAAGAACAAAATAGAGGGACACTTATGATTGATGCACATGCATATAATTGGGGGAAGTTGCCCCCAAACACAAAATTATTGTCTATTCTTTAAATGATTTTATTATTTTTCTATTAAAAATTATATATTATTTCCATAAAAAATTATTGAGTAATTTTATTTATGAAGAATTAAGTTCAAACTTGTATGAAAGACTGAACCTTTTTATTTGTGGAGAATTAATGCTTTGTTTGGCCACAAAGTAAATTGTGTAATTTTTTTTCTTTAATGCTTTGTTTGGTCACAAAGTAGATTGTGTATTTTTTTCTTTCGCTATTCTCCTCATGTGGTGGTACTTATGATCTATTTTATATATAAATTCTATAAGATATAATTTAATGTGATTGTTTCTAATTCATATGATTTATCAACGGCGATTTATAATTAGTCTTGATTTTTAAAATTCTTGACCATAATATTCTCGATTAGCTATATATGTTCTCTATCATATCTGAATTAAATATTGTCTCGTATTGATCTTGGATTAACACGATTAAAATGGTCTCGTATTAATCTTGGATTAACACGATTAACATGGTTCATCAACTGTTTAAACTCGGTCTTGTCCTTCTAGACAAGTCATCAATCAAGACGAACTCATTTGGATTTGGGTTGAACCCGGTCCAACTTGAGATAATTCGATCCAAAAAATCAAACATATACACAATCCTTCAAAAGTGAGCGGTGTAAGGGAAAAATGATTTCTTAAGGCATAATAAAAAAAACAAAAATATGTATAAAACCCCTTAAGCATGACTCATGTAAGGGTAAAATTCTTTCTTACAACATACCAAAAAATCAAACATGTACCCGTGAATAAATAATTGTTTTTTTAAACTACTAATAAAATAAAATAAAACTTATCTCTAATTCCTTCATCACTAAATTTAGGAATTAAAGAAATGTCTCATATTATTCTTTTACAATAATTTTATTTTTATTTTTAATGGCCAAAATTTCACTCGTTTTTAATATAAGTATTTTACATTTTATGCTATATTTTTAGGACTTTTGACATTCCAACTCTACACTTGTAAGCTAATCCCTATGGGGTTATTTCCGTAGAGTAAGACTCTATTTGTGTCTCTATTGAAAAAACTAGTTTTTGCTGAGACATTTGTTTTGTATATGAGTCAGAGATTGACAATATGCATTACTTGGCAGACATATCTCTTTTTCAATAAGCTAGTCACTCAGCCTCATATGAAACGTTCCAAAATCATATTCAAAGTGTAAGATTGGCCAATGACATGTCTTTCTCTTTGGCTCTGACTTCTCCTAGGCGGGGGAGTTCTATGGAGGTCTATCCTTGCCTATGGTGTCCGTTTTCCCAAACTTTGCCTCGTATGTAACTTTGTAGACGACCCTCTTGGATTAACTTCTCACTTTCTCGCTTAAGGTGGTGACAATCATTTGTATGGTGACCATGTATCCTGTAACACTTGCACTATCTCTCTGGCTCATTCCCCATCATATCTCTATTAGGGGCAAGGGGTTCGAGAATGAACTTGGTGTGGTAGACGTTGTAACACCATAAACCCCAAAACTCTTATTTAAATAAAATCATGTAAAATAAATATTTTTTGATTCAGCAAAGGGTGTCACATCTCTTTCATAAAACCATCCTTCTCAAAATTTTAGACTAAATCAACGAAATTTAAAAACATGATTCAACTTAATTGTCTCATAATTCAAAACAACTTAGTTCAAACTGTCATAACACACAATAGTAAGGTATCTCATCCTAGTGTTACATTATCAGAGCGACATGCAGAATCTAAAATAAACTCAAATCGATAAACCACGAAGAACGTCACTACGTCATCCTCCAACTCAACAGCAGATAAGACTCATCTACATGAGTATCTGTACCATTGGCCCTACAAGCCGCACAAGCAAACAAAAGGGGGTAAGAATAACTTTACAAATGTTAATGGTAAAATTAAATAGCAGGATAGTTATAACAAACATGAACATCTAATTTCATTCTCACATAAAGTTCACAAGTAACAACAATAATTATATTGTAAATGCATGATGCACTATACTCCTTCTCCAATATGCATGTGCTACCAAAAGTTTAGATGTCTGAGTTATTTTACGGAATTATCCACGTTTTCAACTCCTCTCTGAAAAATATTCTCTCTGAACAAAGAGATTGTCACTGGCTCTCTCTGAACACTGGACATCATCATTGACTCTCTCTAAGCACTAGACCTCATCACTGACTCTCTTTGAGCATTGGACCTCGTCTGACTGAAGTCCTACCTAACTTCGATACACATGAACGCATGAACATATGATGCCAATTGTAACTCAAAATTAATCAAAAAATGACATCTCGTATCTGGAAAAAATGTTCTCTTTGAACAAAGTCCTCTATGGACAAGGTTCTCTCTGAACCACAATTTGCCAATGCAAGGCTAGCACAAGGCCAACACAGTAGTTCTTTCTAAACTACATAACTCAAAAATATGTTATGCAATTAAAATCAATCATATCAACAAATAATATTTACGCATACTCATCAACAGTGCAAAATATTAATATATTATAACCATAATACTCACCAGCAGAGTAACTCACATTATTACCTATGTCAGGCCACCGACAGGATAAAACAACAAATATTCAAGACAACTATTAGCCTTATCAAAACAACTCTAAACATGTCAAATTACTTAAATCTCAACTCAACTTAATAATTTTATTATCAATTACTCAACAACTCCAAAGTAACTCTAAAAATCTAATTTAACAAAACTGACTCTTAAACTCATCAACAAGGTAACGAAAAGTCATTGAACTCGAAATTACTCAAAACTAAATAATATGTAATTCACACAACACTCTAACACATCAAAAACTCATTGAGCACATTAGAGTCAACTCAACCATTTCAAACTCAACCTTAAACATGTCAGTAGTTCAAAATACAATAGTAATTCACTACTCTAATCATATTTGAACTCAAATTCAGTATTAGACATGTTAACCACTCTAAACTCATAATAACTTAAGTCCCTTAATTTTATCAACTCTAAACAATATCATTAACTCAACTTTAAGTTTTCTATAATTATGTTTAATTTCTTAAATTGCTAAAGCGTTTCCCAAAATTTAGACTTAACTATAAAATTGTATCACTTTAAAATAACACCAAATATTATATACTTATGATAAAATTATGAAAATCTCAAATATAAACACTATTATGCAAAACATATACAACAACGGTTGGAAAATGGATACCATCACTCGTGACCGGCCGTTATTACGTAGCGTGTGGTTGTATATGTGCTACTTACAATCACGACCGTATAACCGTTGTAGAAAACCTAAAAGTGTGCATCATATTACCAGTGGTTGCTTTTAACTAACTGTTGTAATATATTAAAGGTCACAAGTTTGATTCTCAGCAGCGTATTTTTGGTATATATATTATTCTGGACAACTTTAACTCTACAACCATAGTCAAGGAGACTTTGAGGGAGTAGTCCCAAAGAAGTCGACTTGAATCCTACGCTCAGTTGAGGCCCTCTTGGGAGTAGTAGTGTTGAACGAGTAGTCATGAATGCATCACTATTTTTGACCTAGGAGCCTGTGAGACTGAGGACCTTTAGCTACTCACTTACCCACTTGGCCTTTTTAGGATGTAGTGCGGTGACTATAAGGGTGTAGATCTGAAGTAGTTGATATATGATACTACACTCAGACGAGACTCTCTTGAGAATATTATTAATTTCCAAGTAGTTGGTGTGTCGATAATATTTGAAAGATGGGTCGATGACTTTGGGAACCTCTTAGAACCCTGTTCTACAAATACAAGAACCCTTAGTACACACCTTTTGGGATGGCTAGACCATGGCTCCATGCTCATGATCTTCAACACTAGGCCCTTGTTTGTTTGCCTGTATATATGTGTGAATATTTGTATATGTGTGTTCGTGCATACATTCACCCATACATTCATACATTCATGAGTAACCCTTTGGTTTCAAGGAATTCAGTTGTTCATTCCTTTGCAAAAATCAATAGAGATCATGGATTATGAAATGAAACTTTTCAATTTTTTCAAAATGTTTAAAATTTGCTTTTAAGTTCCTTGAAAGCATTTGGCTTGCATTTGCAATGCATGCACATGTCATCACATTTGCATTTCATTTGCATTTCTCAGTGTTGAGTCTCATCCATCCTTTGTCTATAACCCAATTGACTTTCCAATGCTCGCATTGGACTTAAAGTAGCTTTTGAAGGATCATGAACTCAGGAGAGCTGAATCAGTTTGTAGCAAGAGCGGATGTTGAATTGATGAAAAATCAGTTGGATCAGCTTGTGGAAGCTACGACATCCTTGGTAAAGAGAGATGACAACATTCAAAGGACTCCAATCACTAGGAACGTCATTCA